TCCTTTGGCCATCACATGAGAAGAGAAGACTCCTTGGAAAAGACCCTGATATTAGGAAAGTGTGAGGGCAAGAGAAGGGAACGACAGAGGATGAGATGGTTGGACAGTGTCATTGAAGCGACCAATATGAATTGGACCCAACTCCGGGAGGCCGTGGAAGACAGGAGGGCCTGGCGTGCTCAGGTCCATGGGGTCACAAGGAGTTGGACATGACTTAATGACTAAACAACAAAAGTAGTATTTGTTGACTCATTGTTGTTAGCTTTAAATACTGTCTTTTTAATAATGTAAGCTGCCCCGGGTCTTTCTTTAGGCGAATGGTGGGATAAAAATACTTTCAAGAAATAAACATTGTGTCACATGAAGAAATGGCACCAGACCGGCTCCAGGCTAGCCGAGAAAAACCATCCAAAGCACAGGATCCAGCCCCACCACCAACATAATTGCCCCTCAACAGTCAACCAGTGCAGTGAGAAATACAAAGAAGAGGGATCCCTGCTTTGGGGATCCCTCCAAAGAAGGCAAAGGTATCCTTACCCGGAGATAAGCTACTTCCTGAGATTCTCCAGCGGGACCTCCTTCTGCAGAGCCCTCTGGCCTCGATCCAGGACAGCCTGCGCTCCTGCCCTGAAATGCTCCCCTGAGCCCGAAAAGGACCCAGGAAGCTGTAAAAGGAAAAGAGAAGTTTAATGGCCAAACCCCAACAGCCGTTTCTTGGAGGCCTTGTTAGAGGGAAGCCCCAAAACCCACGCTGAGCACCGCCATTCTCAAAGGACAATTTCCCGATGGAAAACTGACATTTCACATCCCTTTTATCTATTTTCCAAGGAGGAGCAGCTCAAACCTGCTGGCCAGGGAAATGGAGTTATGCCATTCAACTCCTTCTCCTGAAACAGAAATAGGGCCCCCTTTGGCCTTGCTCTCCCACTCTGCCCCAAGTCATTGTTATTATGTAAAAGGAAAAAGAGAAATTGGAGGGCCAACCGCCGTTTCTTGAGTGGCATCTTAGAGGGAAGCCCCAAAACACATGCTGAGCACCGTTATTTCCAAAGGACATCCCGACTAAAAACTGGCATTTAAAGTCCTTTTTCTCCTCCCTTTTCTCCATTTTCCAAGGAGGAACAGCTTGAACAAATGGGATGTGTCAGACCCCTCCCCAGGGCCTGGAAAGAGGCCACCCCCTCCCCCCTGGGCACACCGTCTCCCCCGCTGCACCCTCCTGGGGGGGCTTCTTCTCATCTTCCTCCTCCTCTCCTGACTTTCCTTTTCCTGCAGCCTACTCGTGAGGAGGAGGAGGAGGAGGGGCAGTCCCCCAGTTTCCCTCTCTTGCCTCTTCTTAGGGGGCCCTTGGATGAGGGGCCATGGGGGCTTCTCAGGGGCTCCTCTTTGGTGACCCCCCACCAGACCCTCAGACCCCTTAGGAGGAAGCCGCCTCTCGAACCTCCTCCAAGACCCCTATGATTATTATTTCCCCCTCCAGGAGGGAGGGTGGGGCCCATAGACACCCCCCAGTTTGTGACCCCCCAGTCAGAGAGGAAGGGGCTCCGACTTCCTATCCGGATCCTGGGCTGGAGGGCTGCCCTTCTCTCCACCTGGGCTGCCCCTGGCCATGCTCTGCAGAAGGCAGGTGCTGCCTGAGGGCTGGGGGGGGGGGGGAAGAGCCTCGAC